GTCCTACATGTTGTCAGAGTCCTACATGTTGTCAGAGTCCTACATGTTGATCAGAGTCCTACATGTTGATCAGAGTCCTACATGTTGATCAGAGTCCTACATGTTGTCAGAGTCCTGCATGTTGATCAGAGTCCTACATGTTGATCAGAGTCCTACATGTTGTCAGAGTCCTACATGTTGATCAGAGTCCTACATGTTGTCAGAGTCCTGCATGTTGATCAGAGTCCTACATGTTGTCAGAGTCCTACATGTTGATCAGAGTCCTACATGTTGATCAGAGTCCTACATGTTGTCAGAGTCCTGCATGTTGATCAGAGTCCTACATGTTGATCAGAGTCCTACATGTTGATCAGAGTCCTACATGTTGATCAGAGTCCTACATGTTGATCAGAGTCCTACATGTTGTCAGAGTCCTACATGTTGTCAGAGTCCTGCATGTTGATCAGAGTCCTACATGTTGATCAGAGTCCTACATGTTGTCAGAGTCCTGCATGTTGATCAGAGTCCTACATGTTGATCAGAGTCCTACATGTTGTCAGAGTCCTACATGTTGATCAGAGTCCTACATGTTGATCAGAGTCCTACATGTTGATCAGAGTCCTGCATGTTGTCAGAGTCCTACATGTTGATCAGAGTCCTACATGTTGATCAGAGTCCTGCATGTTGATCAGAGTCCTACATGTTGATCAGAGTCCTACATGTTGTCAGAGTCCTACATGTTGATCAGAGTCCTACATGTTGTCAGAGTCCTACATGTTGATCAGAGTCCTGCATGTTGATCAGAGTCCTACATGTTGATCAGAGTCCTGCATGTTGATCAGAGTCCTACATGTTGTCAGAGTCCTGCATGTTGATCAGAGTCCTACATGTTGTCAGAGTCCTACATGTTGATCAGAGTCCTACATGTTGATCAGAGTCCTACATGTTGTCAGAGTCCTGCATGTTGATCAGAGTCCTACATGTTGTCAGAGTCCTACATGTTGATCAGAGTCCTACATGTTGATCAGAGTCCTACATGTTGTCAGAGTCCTACATGTTGATCAGAGTCCTGCATGTTGATCAGAGTCCTACATGTTGTCAGAGTCCTACATGTTGATCAGAGTCCTACATGTTGTCAGAGTCCTGCATGTTGATCAGAGTCCTACATGTTGATCAGAGTCCTACATGTTGATCAGAGTCCTACATGTTGATCAGAGTCCTACATGTTGTCAGAGTCCTGCATGTTGATCAGAGTCCTGCATGTTGATCAGAGTCCTGCATGTTGATCAGAGTCCTGCATGTTGATCAGAGTCCTGTCTGTTGATCAGAGTCCTGCATGTTGATCAGAGTCCTACTTGTTGATCAGAGTCCTGCATGTTGATCAGAGTCCTGTCTGTTGATCAGAGTCCTGCATGTTGATCAGAGTCCTACATGTTGTCAGAGTCCTGCATGTTGATCAGAGTCCTACATGTTGTCAGAGTCCTACATGTTGATCAGAGTCCTGTCTGTTGATCAGAGTCCTACATGTTGTCAGAGTCCTGCATGTTGATCAGAGTCCTACATGTTGTCAGAGTCCTACATGTTGATCAGAGTCCTACATGTTGATCAGAGTCCTACATGTTGTCAGAGTCCTACATGTTGTCAGAGTCCTGCATGTTGATCAGAGTCCTACATGTTGTCAGAGTCCTACATGTTGTCAGAGTCCTACATGTTGATCAGAGTCCTACATGTTGATCAGAGTCCTACATGTTGTCAGAGTCCTACATGTTGTCAGAGTCCTACATGTTGATCAGAGTCCTACATGTTGTCAGAGTCCTGCATGTTGATCAGAGTCCTACATGTTGATCAGAGTCCTACATGTTGATCAGAGTCCTACATGTTGTCAGAGTCCTACATGTTGATCAGAGTCCTACATGTTGATCAGAGTCCTACATGTTGTCAGAGTCCTACATGTTGATCAGAGTCCTACATGTTGATCAGAGTCCTACATGTTGTCAGAGTCCTACATGTTGTCAGAGTCCTGCATGTTGATCAGAGTCCTGCATGTTGTCCTGCATGTTGATCAGAGTCCTACATGTTGATCAGAGTCCTACATGTTGATCAGAGTCCTACATGTTGTCAGAGTCCTACATGTTGATCAGAGTCCTACATGTTGATCAGAGTCCTACATGTTGTCAGAGTCCTACATGTTGTCAGAGTCCTGCATGTTGATCAGAGTCCTGCATGTTGTCCTGCATGTTGATCAGAGTCCTACATGTTGATCAGAGTCCTACATGTTGATCAGAGTCCTACATGTTGTCAGAGTCCTACATGTTGTCAGAGTCCTGCATGTTGATCAGAGTCCTGCATGTTGTCCTGCATGTTGATCAGAGTCCTACATGTTGATCAGAGTCCTACATGTTGTCAGAGTCCTACATGTTGTCAGAGTCCTACATGTTGTCAGAGTCCTACATGTTGATCAGAGTCCTACATGTTGATCAGAGTCCTACATGTTGTCAGAGTCCTGCATGTTGATCAGAGTCCTGCATGTTGTCCTGCATGTTGATCAGAGTCCTACATGTTGATCAGAGTCCTACATGTTGTCAGAGTCCTGCATGTTGATCAGAGTCCTACATGTTGTCAGAGTCCTACATGTTGATCAGAGTCCTACATGTTGATCAGAGTCCTACATGTTGATCAGAGTCCTACATGTTGATCAGAGTCCTACATGTTGTCAGAGTCCTGCATGTTGATCAGAGTCCTACATGTTGATCAGAGTCCTACATGTTGTCAGAGTCCTACATGTTGTCAGAGTCCTACATGTTGATCAGAGTCCTACATGTTGTCAGAGTCCTACATGTTGATCAGAGTCCTACATGTTGTCAGAGTCCTACATGTTGTCAGAGTCCTACATGTTGATCAGAGTCCTACATGTTGTCAGAGTCCTACATGTTGTCAGAGTCCTGCATGTTGATCAGAGTCCTACATGTTGTCAGAGTCCTACATGTTGTCAGAGTCCTGCATGTTGATCAGAGTCCTACATGTTGTCAGAGTCCTACATGTTGATCAGAGTCCTACATGTTGATCAGAGTCCTACATGTTGTCAGAGTCCTACATGTTGATCAGAGTCCTACATGTTGTCAGAGTCCTACATGTTGATCAGAGTCCTACATGTTGATCAGAGTCCTACATGTTGTCAGAGTCCTACATGTTGATCAGAGTCCTACATGTTGTCAGAGTCCTACATGTTGTCAGAGTCCTACATGTTGATCAGAGTCCTACATGTTGTCAGAGTCCTACATGTTGATCAGAGTCCTACATGTTGTCAGAGTCCTACATGTTGTCAGAGTCCTACATGTTGATCAGAGTCCTACATGTTGTCAGAGTCCTACATGTTGATCAGAGTCCTACATGTTGATCAGAGTCCTACATGTTGATCAGAGTCCTACATGTTGTCAGAGTCCTACATGTTGATCAGAGTCCTACATGTTGTCAGAGTCCTACATGTTGATCAGAGTCCTACATGTTGTCAGAGTCCTACATGTTGTCAGAGTCCTACATGTTGATCAGAGTCCTACATGTTGTCAGAGTCCTACATGTTGATCAGAGTCCTACATGTTGATCAGAGTCCTACATGTTGTCAGAGTCCTACATGTTGATCAGAGTCCTACATGTTGTCAGAGTCCTACATGTTGTCAGAGTCCTACATGTTGATCAGAGTCCTGTCTGTTGATCAGAGTCCTACATGTTGTCAGAGTCCTACATGTTGATCAGAGTCCTGTCTGTTGATCAGAGTCCTACATGTTGTCAGAGTCCTACATGTTGATCAGAGTCCTGTCTGTTGATCAGAGTCCTACATGTTGTCAGAGTCCTACATGTTGATCAGAGTCCTACATGTTGTCAGAGTCCTACATGTTGTCAGAGTCCTACATGTTGTCCTGCATGTTTTTTGGAACCAGCCGGAGATTTCTGGATCCATTTACTGAAACCTTTCTGAACAGCTGATTGGCCGGAACGTCTCACCAGTTTGTCTGGTTAACCTCGGACTGACGGAGCTCCTCTTCATCATCGCCTTCGTCAATGAGGTGAACAGGAAGCAGGACTTCTGACAGGAAGTGTCCCTGAGAGTGACAGACCCAGGAAGCCTCGCTCTTCACAGCAACGTCCACCATGATGCTGCTGACGCTGCAGGGACGCCGACCTCCGAGGATGAGAAGCTGAAACACATGAAGAAGAAAACAACTGAGCCCACCTGTCAATCAGGTCAGCTACACGCCTTATTGTGAATAACTCTTATCCTTCATCAAATCAAAACTGATGAGTCATCAAAACATTCACCCCCCGTACAGTGTGTGTCCATCCAGACATGAGCTAATCACACCTATTTGGTTTTTTGAACCAGGCTGTAAACATGTTCATCTCTGCTGTAAAAACAGGCTTTTTAGAATGGGTGTGTATGTGACTTCCTGTGCTTCTGCAGCCAGCCTCTAGTGGACACTCCAGGAACTGCAGGATGTTACACTTCAGCATCGGCTTCATGTTTCAACACCAGAGGTTACTGCTTGTGTCTTCTTCTTCTTCTTCTTCTTCTTCTTCTTCTTCTTCTTCTTCTTCTTCTTCTTCTTCTCCTTCTTCTCCTCCTCCTCCTCCTCCTCCTCCTCCTCCTCCTCCTCCTCTCAGGGAGTACAGATCATGAACACGTCCTGCATTGTGTCTTCAGTGTTCTCTAAATAAAGATTATTATATTTGTATAATAACAAACATCAGAAGCAGAGACTCCAAGCCCCCACGTGACCTTTAGCTGGTTAAACTCTGATCTACGTCATAAGGTAACATCAGTGACGTTAAATCACTATAAAGATGTTTGATCACCTACCTGACACGTCAGGGAGCCGAAGCCTCTGATTGGCTGCTCTTGCGCGTGTTTCTCGATGTTCTTCCTGATTTACATCCAGTCGGGTCAAAGTTCGACTTCATCAGATCCACAGAATCCCGACAGAACCGGACAAACCGGCAGAAAACCGTCAAACGGACTCACATCA